TGCAGGGGAGACCCCAAACACCCCAATAGTGCAGAGGAGACCCCAAAACTGCCCCAATAGTGCAGGGGAGACCCCAAACACCCCAATATTGCAGAGGAGACCCCAAGCACCCCAATAGTGCAGAGGAGATCCCAAAACTGCCCCAGTAGTGCGGAGGAGACCCCCAAACACCCCAACAGTGCAGGGGAGACCCCAAACACCCCAATATTGCAGGTGAATCCTGCCAAAATATTACCCAAAATCTCCCCTAAAAATCCCAAATCCAAAAAAATCGCCCCAAAAATCCTCAAAAAATCACCAAAAAATGCCTCCAAGTCCCAAAAAATCCTCTAGAAATCCCCACAGATCCCAAAAAACTTAACTGGGAATGACCCCAATATTCCACGGAATAAACCCCCATTTAATGTCCCTGTATCCCAAATTCAATTAGGAATTACCCCAGAACTCCACCCTCAAGGAATAAAATCCCATTTAAAAGTCCCCATTCGGCCCCAACCCCCCCGGAGTGTCCCTGGGGGTCCCTCGGGGCCCCTCGAGGTCCCTCGAGTCTCCAGAGCAGGGGGAGGATCCCAGGGTCAGAAGCTGGTGCCCTCGTGATTCTCCCAACATTCCCGTGCCTTCTGGAAGCTCCAGAAGCTGGAATTTGGGATGAGATCTGTGAATACCTCAAAAATCCCCCCCCAAACCCCAGCAAAAATCCTCCCAAAAAATCCCACAAAATCCCCAAAAAATCCTCCAAAACCCCTTCAACCCCTTCCCCCAATCCCTCCTCAAAATCCCCCCAATCCCAAAAAATCCCCCCAAATTCCAAAATAATCCCCCAAATCCCCCCTAACCCCCCCTTCAAAATCCCCCAAAATACCCAAAAAGTACCCCCAAAATCATATAAAACTCCTTCAAATCCCCAAAAATCCCCACAAATCCTATAAAATTTCATTGGGAACGACCCCAGAACTCCACGCTTCTGGAATAAAACCCCATTTAATGGTTCCCATTCGGTGCCAGCGGGACCCCAAAGCCCGGAGTGTCCCTGGGGTCCCTCAGGGCCCCTCGAGGCTCCGGAGCAGGAGGAGGATCCCGGGATCCAGCGGGACGGGCTCCAGCTGGGATCGGAGCCGCGACGCCGTGGCCTCGTGTCGCTGCCGCCGCCGCCACTCCCGGAGCATCTGGAAACTCCAGAGGACGGGATCGCCGGGATTCTCCTGCTGGATCTGCTCCAGGCGGCTCTGCTCCAGCTCCAGGCACAGAATTCCCACCCGCTGCCACTCCCGGCCCAACTTCTGGGCGATTTGCATCAAATCCCTCTCCGTCAGCAGCCGATTCCCGGCGGGATTTGGGATCGCGCCGGAGGAAGATCCCAGAGAACGAGCGGGATCCCCGTTGGGAATTCCCTGCGGGATTTGCCGTTCCAGGGGCGGCGGGTTCCCGGCGGGGTTCGGGGTCGCTCCGGGGGCTCCACCATTGGGAATTCCCGGCTCCAGGGGCAGCTGGAACCGCTGGATGAGGTCGGGGCGGCCGAGCTGCCGGAGGGTCCCGGCGAGCAGGGCCCGGGAGCGGCCCGGGAAGCGCTGCAGGAGGAGCCGGCAAAGCTCCGGGCGCGACGCCGCGAGCAGGAGCCCCCCCGGGATCTGCCCTTCCAGCAGCAGCTTCAGCGCCTGGAATTGCTCCTCCGGGAGCTCCTGGACCACGGCCAGGGCGGTCTGGCGCTCGTCCATGGGGGCACCGGAATCCTGGGAAAAGGGGGAGATCCCGAGGGGGTGAAATCCTGGGAAAAGGGGGAGATCCCGAGGGGGTGAAATTCTGGAGAAAAAGGGGGGGAAGATCCTGGGGCACAAAGACTGGGGAGAAAGGGCTCGATCGCGGGAAAATTCTGGGAAAAGCGGTCAATGCTGGGGCGTAAAATCCCAGGGAAAGGGGTCACACCCCCCCGAACCCCCCCAGTCCCCCCGGGGCTCCCCCGTGTCCCCGGGGCCCCGCCCGCCCTTTGTTCCGGGTCCCGCCGATCTCGCGGTGGCCCCGGTGACCCCCAGCCCGAAACCCCGCCGATTCCCCCCTCCCCAGCCCGGACCCCTCGGTTTTACGCCCCCGTTTCACCCCCCGGGACCCCCAAAAACCCCCCAAAGTCCCCCCGAGCCCCCCCGGTCTCACCGCGCTCGGTCCCGCTCGGGGGGCGTGGCCTGAGCGCGGTGGGGGCGCGGCCTCAGCTCCCGCCAAGGCGTTGCCGCGGCAACGGGGGCGTGGCCATTGGAGAGGTGGGCGTGGCCACCGCCCCTCCAAGCTCGTTACCCAATGAATAGAGGTACTGCGGGAAGGGGCGGGGCCTCAGAGCCCGCCAAGGCGTTGCCGCGGCAACGGGGGCGGGGCCATGTGGAAAAGGGGCGTGGTCACCTCTCCCTCCAAACTCATTACCCAATGAATAGAGGCGATGGGGAAAGGGGCGGGGCCTCAGCTCCCTCCCCGCAGTTACGTGCAAGGGGGCGTGGTCAGGGCGTGGTGGGGGCGTGGCTTGCAGTGAACGAGACGCGAAGCGGGGCCCGGAGAGGGGGCGTGGCTTGTGGCGATTTTGATTTATTAGTATGGATGTGTTATTTCTAATTTACTTATATGTTAATAATATTTGTATTGTTTATTTATTATTTCTGTTTGTTTGGATTATTTATCAGACGCCGTTGGGCCCCTCAGAGGGAGGGGGAGGAAAACAGAGCAACAGCACCACGACCACTCAAACTGCAGCTGGAGCAGAGGAATAACTCACGTTGTTATATATTATTATATCTAAATGTATATTTTATATACCACATATTATATATATTATATAATATATATATTATTATACGTAGATGTATATGTTACATATTCTATATTATTATGTAAATTATATACTATATATATATTTATAGATCTTACACATACATTTATATATAAAATATATATGTATTATATACATTGGCAGCAGTCACACCTATAGAGAAGAAATCCAAGCCCAGAGCAGTTCACCCTCAGAGCAGGAAGAGGAGGCAGAGCCAGAGATGATCCCCCGAGCCCATCCCCAGGTGAGCTGGGAGATGAGCAGAGACATTTCAGCTCCAGTTAAATGAGCCCTGGTGACAGGGGGGCTCCGGGGCTGGGATATCACAGCCCGGGACATGAAACTAGATGGGAGTGAAGCAATCCTGGGATGGAGCCATGGACAGGGGACTGGGAAGAGGACAGGAACCCTCAGCCTCCAGAGGTGACTTCTGTCAAGGTGTCTTTGCGAGGAGGAGAAAAGTGGAACATGGGGAGAAAGGTGTCCAGGACCTGACGAGCGAGCTGTGCTGGAGGGAATCCAGAGGGAATCGGATAAGGAACAGTCCCAGTAGGTCCAGTGGAGGCCCAGGCACAAACTCTGTGTGGTGGAAGCTCCTGCAGAGCATGTCATCGTTGTACCCAGCTCAGCGATGCTACGGGGGGAAGGAGAACAAGGAGTGGATAATTTGGGTACCAAACCCTGGAAAGACTGTCCAAGGACCTCCAGAGACTGAAAGGAGTGTCCCATGTGCCACCTGCACAGACCAGTCCCTCTGCTGCTGGGAGAGAGGGGACACCCCAGGGGTTACCTGTGGTGTCACCTGCGTGACCACAGAGAGGACAGGAGGGAGTGGGATGGAGAACCCCCTTGGGACTGGTCCAGAGGCTGTGGGCATCCTTGGCACGGGTTCCCCTCAGGAGAGGGGATTTCAGAGACCCAAAAGGGCATCCCTGGGCTGATGGGAGGAGCAGATGGAGGGAATGGGGCAGTTGAACACCTCGCCTGGTCCCTGCGAGGACTCCTCTGCTGCGGGTTGAAGAACAGCAGGTACCAACCACCACCACAACAGCGGGGACACGGCACAGGAAGCTTTGGAGAAAGGGGAGAAGATAATCCAGACCCTCCTGGAAGCTGGTTTTGCCATAAAACAAAGTGGGGCCAAGCGACCTGCCCAGGAAATTCAGCTTTTAGGAGTAAAACGGCAAGAGGGACACGGTCAGATCCTGGTGGACGAGATCAACGAAACAGCAGCTCTAGGAAAGAAGGAAGCACCGACTTTCCTGGGTTTTCGGAGGATGCATGTTCCAGATGACAGTCAGATTGTCAGCCCTCTCTTTCCTGACATGGGAGAAGAGTGATTTCAAGCGGGGCCCTGGAGAGCAACAAACTTTTGAACAGATGAAACAGGAGGTGGCAGCCCCTGGGTCAGTCACGAGTGGATCCCTCTGATCACACTGGGATAGGAAACCCCAATCCCCCAGAGATCTTGGAATTCATCACAAATTGGCCTGGAGGTGATGCCTTAAAATCCAGATCACATAAAATTGTGATGTAACTCACCGGTACCTGTGGTTTGCTGAGCACCTTTGTTTCAGAATCCTAAAATCCTGTTTAACATTTCTTGTCAAGAATTTCAACGGACCGAGATTTTAGCGAAGGGAAAATGGCCCTGCCTGTGAAATGTGCTCAGGGTGAGACATGACAGGGTCACACCACCCAGGAAAACCCATCACAACCACCCCAAGGCCTCGGAGCCCTTCCTGGGAGGGCGAAGCCGGTGAGGAGGACGAGGGTTGGGAGGAAGGGGTGGTTGTTTTGTGACCACTGATCAAATCTGGGAGGTTCTGGGGACGGTGGGACGATGGGAGGGATGGTTTAGGGACTGCGTGTAACCAACAAGGTGATGTCCAAATATTAGATAATGTATCATCCAAATTAGATGATATAATAAAATCTCAAAGGCCTCTACTCTGTGTGCCCAAGGTGCTTTTGTACCCCAAAGGCGCCAGAATTAAAGAGCTGCTTTTTGCTTTTCTGTGCTCAAAATTGACCAGAGAAGGATTTACCTTTGATTTTAGGCAACAAAGGTGAAAATTTTGGACAATCACCTGAAGAGGAGGAGGAGGAGAAGGAGCTGAGGAGGCCCCACCACGAATCAGTTGCCAGAGAATGGAGGGTGACCCGTTCTCTACACTGTTGGGTCCCGTTGAGCTGTGGGACACCTTGGAAATGGAAATCCGGGACACCTCGGAAATGGAAATCCGGGACACCTCGGAAATGGAAATCCAGGACACTTCAGACATGGAAATCCGGGACACCTTGGACATGGAAATCCGGGACACCTCGGAAATGGAAATCCAGGACACCTCGGAAATGGAAATCCAGGACACTTCAGACATGGAAATCCGGGACACCTTGGACATGGAAATCCGGGACACCTCGGAAATGGAAATCCCGGACACCTCGGAAATGGAAATCCGGGACAACTTGGAAATGGAAATCCAGGACACCTTGGAAATGGAAATCCGGGACACCTCGGAAATGGAAATCCGGGACACCTTGGACATGGAAATCCAGGACACCTTGGAAATGGAAATCCGGGACACCTCGGAAATGGAAATCTGGGACACTTCAGACATGGAAATCCGGGACACCTCGGAAATGGAAATCTGGGACACTTCAGACATGGAAATCTGGGACATCTCGGAAATGGAAATCC